CGCTCTGGTAAGTTATGTAATGATAACTGTGTGTCTGCCTCTGTTAATTTTAATATTCTCTATTAATGTCTCTGTATATTAGATAAGGATGTTCTCACTATTTTTTCTGAGTGCACATTTCTTTTCCAATTTCAAATATAAAGAAAGTATCACTGTAGCTAATTACAATTGTATGCAACCTGGAATAAATAGGTTAGGAATCGCTAATTTAAACTTTTACTTTGAATACTGATGATCCATATAGGATAAATTATTCCTTTTCCATTAAATAGAGAGAGTTTTGGAGTGGTGGAGAGAAAAGCAACAAAGGATCCATATTAATACAGAATACCTATTCATTCCTCCATCGAATGCCTGACCACATCCTGGCTCTTATTCTGAGTCACATGACTAGGTATGGCCGCACTGTGCTGTTGACTTCTGAAGGAGGAGTTTTCCAGCTTGGTGCAGTGCAGACAGTGATTGTCAGACATGAGGGACTGATGGGTATGTGTGCTATATAATCACCTCACATAAATAACCTCAATTTGAGCATTGGCACATTTTGTCTTGTCATATGACCTACATACACCTTCCAGATCATATAATATATACCTACCAGGTAATATAACATACACCTTCCAGATCATATACCTACCAGGTAATATAACATACACCTTCCAGATCATATACTATATACCTACCAGGTAAGATGATATACACCTACCGGGTAAGATGATATACACCTTCCAGATCATATACTATATACCTACCAGGTAAGATGATATACACCTACCAGGTAAGATGATATACACCTACCAGGTAAGATGATATACACCTACCAGGTAAGATGATATACACCTACCAGGTAAGATGATATACACCTACCAGGTAAGATGATATACACCTACCAGGTAAGATGATATACACCTACCAGGTAAGATGATATACACCTACCAGGTAAGATGATATACACCTACCAGGTAAGATGATATACACCTACCAGGTAAGATGATATACACCTACCAGGTAAGATGATATACACCTACCAGGTAAGATGATATACACCTACCAGGTAAGATGATATACACCTACCAGGTAAGATGATATACACCTACCAGGTAAGATGATATACACCTACCAGGTAAGATGATATACACCTACCAGGTAAGATGATATACACCTACCAGGTAAGATGATATACACCTACCAGGTAAGATGATATACACCTACCAGGTAAGATGATATACACCTACCAGGTAAGATGATATACACCTACCAGGTAAGATGATATACACCTACCAGGTAAGATGATATACACCTACCAGGTAAGATGATATACACCTACCAGGTAAGATGATATACACCTACAAGGTAATATAATATACACCTTCCAGGTAATATGATATACACCTACAAGGTAATATAATATACACCTACCAGGTAAGATGATATACACCCACCAGGTAAGATGATATACACCTACCAGGTAAGATGATATACACCTACCAGGTAATATGATATACACCTACCAGGTAAGATGATATACACTTACCAGGTAATATGACATACACTTACCTGGTAATATGACATACACTACCAGGTAATATGACATACACCTACCAGGTAATATGACATACACCTACCAGGTAATATGACATACACCTACCAGGTAATATGACATACACTTACCTGGTAATATGACATACACTACCAGGTAATATAATATACACCTACCAGGTAATAGAACATACACCTACCAGGTAATATGACATACACCTACCAGGTAATATGACATACACCTACCAGGTAATATGACATACACCTACCAGGTAATATGACATACACCTACCAGGTAATATGACATACACCTACCAGGTAATATGACATACACTTACCTGGTAATATGACATACACTACCAGGTAATATAATATACACCTACCAGGTAATAGAACATACACCTACCAGGTAATATGACATACACCTACCAGGTAATATGACATACACTTACCAGGTAATATGATATACACTACCAGGTAATATAATATACACCTACCAGGTAATATGACATACACCTACCAGGTAATATGACATACACTACCAGGTGATATGACATACACCTACCAGGTAATATGACAAGCACTACCAGGTAATATGACATACACCTACCAGGTAATACATCTGTATTCATACCTCATATTGTCTGATGATGTTACATGTAACAGGATAACTCTAAGTATGTCATAGAAACACTTGTACAATCATTCTCTAAAAGCTGTACATTTTTTCCTGTAAATCTCCTTACTGATTTGGCTGTCACATGTATTCTAGACCTTGTTAACGGTGATGTGGATCCGATTCTGGGTAAGCTGTAGTTACACCTTAATTTCATGAATTGCAGATCTGCTCTCTTCTCAGGATTTTGCAAATTATTTGTGGTTTTTTTTCCAGTATACTATCACTTGACTAAATTAATTAACATGCAGGCCCTAGTTTTACTGACACTCCTTAACTAATAAAAATTCCTGAACTTCAGATTTTCCATACGAAAGTTGCATTGAAGTTCAGGAAATAGTCTGAAGCTAAAGAAATTATGTTTTACTTCCGCTAACCTTTCCTATTAAAAACCTTACTTCAGTTATTTCCTGAAGATAAACAGGTACCAAGTACTCAGTTGTGTAACAAATGTTGGTAACACTGTTCTTACTTGATCAACATGTGCTCAGTCTACTACTGAGACACCTAACAGATACCTAGTATTTACACTAGGTAAACAGGTTGATTAACATGTGCTCAGTCTCCTAATGAGACACCTAACAGATACCTAATATTTAAACTATGGAAACAGGTTGATTAACATGTGCTCAGTCTACTACTGAGACACCTAACAGATACCTAATATTTAAACTATGGAAACAGGTTGATTAACATGTGCTCAGTCTACTACTGAGACACCTAACAGATACCTAATATTTAAACTATGGAAACAGGTTGATTAACATGTGCTCAGTCTACTACTGAGACACCTAACAGATACCTAATATTTAAACTATGGAAACAGGTTGATTAACATGTGCTCAGTCTACTACTGAGACACCTAACAGATACCTAATATTTAAACTATGGAAACAGGTTGATTAACATGTGCTCAGTCTACTACTGAGACACCTAACAGATACCTAATATTTAAACTATGGAAACAGGTTGATTAACATGTGCTCAGTCTACTACTGAGACACCTAACAGATACCTAATATTTAAACTATGGAAACAGGTTGATTAACATGTGCTCAGTCTACTACTGAGACACCTAACAGATACCTAATATTTAAACTATGGAAACAGGTTGATTAACATGTGCTCAGTCTACTACTGAGACACCTAACAGATACCTAATATTTAAACTATGGAAACAGGTTGATTAACATGTGCTCAGTCTACTACTGAGACACCTAACAGATACCTAATATTTAAACTATGGAAACAGGTTGATTAACATGTGCTCAGTCTACTACTGAGACACCTAACAGATACCTAATATTTAAACTATGGAAACAGGTTGATTAACATGTGCTCAGTCTACTACTGAGACACCTAACAGATACCTAATATTTAAACTATGGAAACAGGTTGATTAACATGTGCTCAGTCTACTACTGAGACACCTAACAGATACCTAATATTTAAACTATGGAAACAGGTTGATTAACATGTGCTCAGTCTACTACTGAGACACCTAACAGATACCTAATATTTAAACTATGGAAACAGGTTGATTAACATGTGCTCAGTCTACTACTGAGACACCTAACAGATACCTAATATTTAAACTATGGAAACAGGTTGATTAACATGTGCTCAGTCTACTACTGAGACACCTAACAGATACCTAATATTTAAACTATGGAAACAGGTTGATTAACATGTGCTCAGTCTACTACTGAGACACCTAATAGATACCTAATATTTACACTAGATAAACAGGTAGTAGGCCAATTAAGAGGGTCTTACACTTATGACTAAGGTAACTACATTTATCTATATTACATTGACTACGTAAAAAATAATACATACCTAATGTATTGTTTTTATTGGTGTATACCATTAATACATACCTAATGTATTGTTTTTATTGGTGTATATCATTAATACATACCTAATGTATTGTTTTTATTGGTGTATACCATTAATACATACCTAATGTATTGTTTTTATTGGTGTATACCATTAATACATACCTAATGTATTGTTTTTATTGGTGTATACCATTAATACATACCTAATGTATTGTTTTTATTGGTGTATACCATTAATACATACCTAATGTATTGTTTTTATTGGTGTATACCATTAATACATACCTAATGTATTGTTTTTATTGGTGTATACCATTAATACATACCTAATGTATTGTTTTTATTGGTGTATACCATTAATACATACCTAATGTATTGTTTTTATTGGTGTATACCATTAATACATACCTAATGTATTGTTTTTATTGGTGTATACCATTAATACATACCTAATGTATTGTTTTTATTGGTGTATACCATTAATACATACCTAATGTATTGTTTTTATTGGTGTATACCATTAATACATACCTAATGTATTGTTTTTATTGGTGTATACCATTAATACATACCTAATGTATTGTTTTTATTGGTGTATACCATTAATACATACCTAATGTATTGTTTTTATTGGTGTATACCATTAATACATACCTAATGTATTGTTTTTATTGGTGTATACCATTAATACATACCTAATGTATTGTTTTTATTGGTGTATACCATTAATACATACCTAATGTATTGTTTTTATTGGTGTATACCATTAATACATACCTAATGTATTGTTTTATTGGTGTATACCAGTAATACATACTTAATGTATTGTTTTTATTGGTGTATACCATTAATACATACCTAATGTATTGTTTTTATTGGTGTATACCATTAATACATACCTAATGTATTGTTTTATTGGTGTATACCAGTAATACATACTTAATGTATTGTTTTTATTGGTGTATACCATTAATACATACCTAATGTATTGTTTTTATTGGTGTATACCATTAATACATACCTAATGTATTGTTTTATTGGTGTATACCAGTAATACATACTTAATGTATTGTTTTTATTGGTGTATACCATTAATACATACCTAATGTATTGTTTTTATTGGTGTATACCATTGTGTGTAAACCATTTAATGTTGAAAGTGAGCTCTTAGACTTGGAATTGAATAACAGAACAATTACCATATGAGGATGGACTACACTTGGGGGCTGGAGCTATTGTACAGTCTACTTAAGGCTCTCTGCATAGACTTAATACTGACATTTAATGGTAGTACGTTCCTTAAGGCTCTCTGCATAGACTAATACTGACATTTAATGGTAGTTCCTTAAGGCTTCAATATGCTGCTTATCATAGCTTGCTTGGGATGTCAAAACTAAAATGACAGTATTACAAATTTCCTCTTTAAATTTAGTATAATAGATATTTTGCATTTTCTGTATGCTTTTTAAAAAGGGGATGAATTGTAATTTATTTTATGTTTATAAAATATGTTTCTGTATTTGATCATTGAAAGGTAAATCTTTAGACAGAACAGATGCTTCTTTAAGTATGCCAGGCAGTGAATGTCAAAGTTAAACTGACAAAATCTAAGGTTATATACATCAACACAAGTTTGTATTTATAACATTTGTCATGTTAGTCAACCGGAGTCTGAAAAAGAAATATTCCTCAATTATATATATTTTTTTTATTAAATATATGTTATACTGTGAGTTAGGTCGATGATGCCTTACAGAAGTTAGGCAGCCTCAGAAACAGGCAGAATAGGTGTGGCACTATTTATATGTTATGTATTTACTGCAATAGACATTTAGATTTCTATTCTCTTAGCTGTGTGCGATGTAGACAGTCAGATACAGTAGTGACCTGGTTTTACTGTAGTGATAACAATATGGAATCTGGTGCTATATATAAATTGTCCTCTGAATGTGATTTACTGTTGTCTTGATATGATGGTGCAAGGTAAACAGATTTTAGTACAATGACAACAGTAAAATGTTAAGACGGCATTGCTCCTAATCGTAGAATTGTATCACCATTGTGTCGTACCTTCACGGTGGTATTTTTTTACTATCATAGTATTGTACTTTCACCATCATTGATGTCACAACATCTTAAAAAACACCGCCATATCATCATACCATATCACTGTCATATCATTTTACCATCAACATCCTTTCACTACCGCAAACATCCTACCATCACCGTGATGGTTACGTTACATTAATAACATATAATGTTATATCAAATGATGTTACTGTAACAAAGTTTTGATTGAAGGTAGATTTTATTTCAGATCTCATAAGGTGATGTACTATATCTAATTACCCATAATTGATTTAAAACATAAGGAACTTTGATACTTGTGTTCATCAATTAGAACTTTGATACTTGTGTCCATCAATTAGAACTTTGATACTTGTGTTCATCAATTAGATCTTTGGTACTTGTGTTCATCAATTAGAACTTTGATACTTGTGTACATCAATTAGAACTATGATACTTGTCAATCATCAATTAGAACTTTGATACTTGTGTACATCAATTAGATCTTTGATACTTGTGTTCATCAATTAGAACTTTGATACTTGTGTACATCATTTAGAACTATGATACTTGTGCACATTAATTAGAACTATGATACTTTGTCAATCATCATTTAGCTATTTGATACTTGTGTACATCATTTAGAACTATGATACTTGTGCACATTAATTAGAACTATGATACTTTGTCAATCATCATTTAGATCTTTGATACTTGTGTACATCATTTGGAACTATGATACTTGTGTACATCAGTTAGAACTTTGATACTTGTGTACATCAGTTAGAACTTTGATACTTGTGTTCAATTAGAATTTTGATACTTGTGTACATCATTTAGAACTTTGATACTTGTGTACATCAGTTAGAACTATGATACTTGTGTACATCAATTAGAACTATGATACTTGTGTTCATTAATTAGAACTTTGATACTTGTGTACATCATTTAGATCTTTGATACTTGTGTTCATTAATTAGAACTTTGATACTTGTGTACATCAATTAGAACTATTATACTTGTCAATCATCAATTAGAACTTTGATACTTGTGTACATCAATTAGATCTTTGATACTTGTGTTCATCAATTAGAACTTTGATACTTGTGTTCATCAATTAGAACTTTGATACTTGTGTTCATCAATTAGAACTTTGATACTTGTGTATATCATTTAGAACTATGATACTTGTGTACATCAGTTAGAACTTTGATACTTGTGTTCAATTAGAATTTGATACTTGTGTACATCATTTAGAACTTTGATACTTGTGTACATCAGTTAGAACTATGATACTTGTGTACATCAATTAGAACTATGATACTTGTGTTCATCAATTAGGTCTTTGATACTTGTGTACATCATTTAGAACTATGATACTTGTGTACATCAGTTAGAACTTTGATACTTGTGTACATCAATTAGAACTGATACTTGTGTTCATCAATTAGATCTTTGATACTTGTGTACATCATTTAGATCTTTGATACTTGTGTTCATTAATTAGAACTTTGATACTTGTGTTCATCAATTAGATCTTTGATACTTGTGTTCATCAATTAGATCTTTGATACTTGTGTTCATCAATTAGATCTTTGATACTTGTGTTCATCATTTAGATCTTTGATACTTGTGTTCATTAATTAGAACTTTGATACTTGTGTACATCAATTAGAACTTTGATACTTATGTACATCAATTAGATCTTTGATGCTTGTATTCATCAATTAGATCTTTGATACTTGTATTCATCAATTAGATCTTTGATACTTGTGTACATCAATGAGATCTTTGATACTTGTGTACATCAATTAGAACTTTGAAACTTGTGTACATCAATGAGATCTTTGATACTTGTGTACATCAATTAGAACTATGATACTTGTCAATCATCAATTAGATCTTTGATACTTGTGTACATCATTTAGAACTATGATACTTGTGTACATCATTTAGATCTTTGTTACTTGTGTACATCATTTAGATCTTTGATACTTGTGAACATCAATTAGAACTATGATACTTGTCAATCATCAATTAGAACTTTGATACTTGTGTACATCAATTAGAACTTTGAAACTTGTCAATCATCAATTAGAACTTTGATACTGGTGATTCATCAATGGGAACATTAATACTTGTGTACATCAATTAGAACTTTGATACTTGTGTTCATCAATTAGAACTATGATACATGTATTCATCATTTAGATCTTTGATACTTGTGTTCATCAATTAGATCTTTGATACTTGTCAATCATCAATTAGAACTTTGATACTTGTGTACATCAATTAGAACTATGATACTTGTATTCATCAATTAGATCTTTGATACTCGTGTTCATCAATTAGAACTTTGTTACTTGTGTACATCAATTAGATCTTTGATACTTGTGTTCATCAATTAGATCTTTGATACTTGCAATTCATCAGTAAGAACTTTGAAATTTGTGTTCATCAATACAAATTTTGTTAATTGTGATTCATCAATGGGAATATTGATACTTGTGTTCATCAATAAGACCTTTGATACTTGTCATTCATCAATTAGAACTTTGATACTTTTGATTATCAATTAGAACTTTGATACTTGTCATTCATCAATTAGAACTTTGATACTTTTGATTATCAGTTAAAAATTTGACATGTGTAGAACATGTATCTGACAAGTATGGTTACCTAGAGAATGCGATTATTCCCGTCCCAGTAGTGCTACTAAATGTCTTACCCATAGCCTTGCGTTACTGACTTACACATATCAATTATATTTTTAAAGACGATCTTTACAACTGTATTGATTAATCAAGGGGAAACAAAGAGTTGAGTTTCCCTGCTACAAGGGGCAATACATATTTTATTTTACTAAAGTAGAAAGAAGGCTACGTTAAAGTTGGTCAGACCAATGTTGTCGTCGGCTTCAGTCACTGGTAACTCAGGCAGGTGTCAGTTGCTTCTATTTCTGGAGATATTCCAAATAAGGGGAAACTCAAGCACAAGAGGGAAACACAATGTTTTTATTTTCCCATGATGTGATCAATGTAATCTAATTACATACACTGTTATATAGATGACATATAACAATGTATATTTCTATAGCGGTCATGTAATATGTTGACAGATAAAGGCGTGCTGTCCATTGAGTCGAGGTGCCACTTCTCTGACAAGCTCACGGAGACGGTGAATGAGCTGACAGAAACTACAGTGAAGGAATATACCTGGCAGGTGTTCTGTATCTATACAGATTTCATTGATCTTGTCCTCTACCACCAGAATATCACTCCCATCATCTCAAGAAGTGTCCCCAAGGGCTTAGGTAGGTGACAGGCTTCCACATTTCTGTAAATTACAATTACTAGGTTCTATTATAGGATCCGTTGTACAAGTTAATTAAGTTCCTTATAATTTCAGGCTTTGGATTTACATACCCTAAACCTTATACCTTGATTATACAAAAACTAAGTCAGCTTAATTTGGTCCATGGTTATTTATAGAATAAGTCTTAGCCCTCGGATATGACATGTCTATCTGTGAGGGGATATATAGTATGCTGTTTTCTCTCTAACTGGCTGAGTGGTCATCAACAATATTTTGTTTAGACCATAGTTTTCTTGTTATTCATCTACTTTCACCAAACGTGCTATATTTATGTATTTTTAGGAGTGGAGTGTTGCTTTACTTCCTTGCTATTTCATCTACATTCACCAAACGTGCTATATTTATGTATCTTTAGGAGTGGAGTGTTGCTTTACTTCCTTGCTATTTCATCTACATTCACCAAACCTGCTTAGATTCTTATGTATGCTGGGAAGGTGGAGTGTAGCGTAACTTCCTTGCTATTTCACCAAACGTTCTGTACTTATGTATGTTGGGAAGATGGAGTGTAGGGAACTTCCTTGCTATTTCACCAAACATTTTGTACTTATGTATGTTGGGAAGGTGGAGTGCAGCATAACTTCCTTGCTATTTCACCAAACATTCTGTACTTATGTATGTTGGGAAGGTAGAGTGTAGCATAACTTCCTTGCTATTTCACCAAACATTTTGTACTTATGTATGTTGGGAAGGTGGAGTGTAGCGTAACTTCCTTGCTATTTCACCAAACATTTTGTACTTATGTATGCTGGGAAGGTGGAGTGTAGCGTAACTTCCTTGCTATTTCACCAAACGTTTTGTACTTATGTATGCTGGGAAGGTAGAGTGTAGCGTAACTTCCTTGCTATTTCACCAAACATTTTGTACTTATGTATGCTGGGAAGGTGGAGTGTAGCGTAACTTCCTTGCTATTTCACCAAACATTTTGTACTTATGTATGTTGGGAAGGTAGAGTGTAGCGTAACTTCCTTGCTATTTCACCAAACATTTTGTACTTATGTATGCTGGGAAGGTGGAGTGTAGCGTAACTTCCTTGCTATTTCACCAAACATTTTGTACTTATGTATGCTGGGAAGGTGGAGTGTAGCGTAACTTCCTTGCTATTTCACCAAACATTTTGTACTTATGTATGCTGGGAAGGTGGAGTGTAGCGTAACTTCCTTGCTATTTCACCAAACATTTTGTACTTATGTATGCTGGGAAGGTGGAGTGTAGCGTAACTTCCTTGCTATTTCACCAAACATTTTGTACTTATGTATGTTGGGAAGGTGGAGTGTAGCGTAACTTCCTTGCTATTTCACCAAACATTTTGTACTTATGTATGTTGGGAAGGTGGAGTGTAGCGTAACTTCCTTGCTATTTCACCAAACATTTTGTACTTATGTATGTTGGGAAGGTGGAGTGTAGCGTAACTTCCTTGCTATTTCACCAAACATTTTGTACTTATGTATGCTGGGAAGGTGGAGTGTAGCGTAACTTCCTTGCTATTTCACCAAACATTCTTTACTTCCAGTGAATGTGTCGGTGGGCTGCAGACATATTTGGAAGGCTTTTGACTCAAAACAGTTACAGTCTGTTTGTACTCTGTGTAATAACTGCGTGGAACACGGTATCCAATGTCCATGGAACGGTATTGTGGGTAATAACATGCGGGAATGTGGCTGTAAGACTAGTGTCACGGGTTGTCATGACTGCGGTATCTGCGGGCGATGTGCAAAGACTATCTGGGTAAGTTGGTGCACTGTGTCAAAATAATGTCCTTAAGAAGTGAAATATTTTGACATGAGAAGAAAGTAATGAATAGATTTTGAATAAAATAAAACATTCCAAATATAAGCAATATTAATGTTTTAGATGAAGATAGATGTGAGAGCTTAATACACTATTTGATTTGAAGAAATAAATAATTTATCAAATACTAATGACATCAAAGCACCATGTGACTAGTACCTTTTTATAATTCTTGCCAGTATGACAAGGTACATTTGATTCTCTTAATGGATAATGGGGCACATCTGCATGCTTGTTATGTCTCCCCTTCGAATGAAGGAAGACATATTGTATTAGTTCTTCTTCTTCTTCTTCTACTTCTTCTTTAATTCTTCTTCTTTTTCTGGGCCATTCCTTTTAAACCATTAAAGATATCTTGATGAAACTTTAGGTATGCATGTATCACCCACAGGAGGTGTGCAGTGCACTGGAATTAGGTCACTGTGACCTTCACCCCAAGGTCAAAGGTCAAATAAGTGCACATTTTCAGTAAATTCTTGTCCGGCCCGATGATTTCAAACCGTTAAAGATATCTTAATCAAACTTGAAGTATACCTAGCTGCATCACCCACAGAAGGTGTGCAGTGCACTGGAACTATAGGTCTCGTGCCCCACTATATACAGAGTTATGGCCCTTTGTTTAATTTTAATACCGAAGTTTGTCCAGAGCAGAAGTTCTATGTTATTTTACCTACGTTGACCATACTTATCATATTGATTATTGATGTATCTTGGGAATTTCGCACACTAAAATCAGATTTTATGCCCCACTATATACAGAGGTATGGCCCTTCGTTTATTTTTAATACCGAAGTTTGTCCATGGCATAACTTCTAAACCATTAAAGATATCTTAATCAAACTTGAAGTATACCTGCATCACTCACAGAAGGTGTGCAGTGCACTGGAATTAGGTCGTGCATCCCTATATACAGGGTTATGGCCCGTTGTTTATTTTTAATACCGAAGTTTGTCCACGGCATTACTTCCATGTTATTAGGACCCGCATCGAAGATGTGGGTGCCCTATACTAATTCATCTGTCCTTCCGTCACAATCAAACAAGGTATCAATTGACCAAAATTCAAGGTAACTGGATCAAAGGTCAAGGTCAAATTTTGTATCTTTTCCCTGATGAACATTTTGTTATGACATTATGAAGCAAAGTTGGTTGGAATTTAACAAAGAGTCAACTGACTTAAGGTCAAGGTCACTGGGTCAAAGGTTAAGGTCAAATTCAATATCTTTTCAATGGGGAACATTTTGTTATAAGACTTTGAAGCAAAGATGGTCGGAATTAAACAAGGAGTCAGTTAACCAAGGGTCAAGGTCACTGGGTCAAAGGTCAAATTTTGTATCTTTTCCCTGATGAACATTTTGTTATGACACTTTGAAGCAATATTGGTCAGAATATAACAAGGAGTCCTTTGACCAAAGGCCAGGGTCACTTGGTCAAAGATCGAGGTCAAATTTTGTATCTTTCCACTCATGAACATTTTGTTATGACATTATGAAGCAAAGTTGGTTGGAATTTAACAAGGAGTCAACTGACTTAAGGTCAAGGTCACTGGGTCAATTTCAAGTTCAGATATTGTATCTTTTTAAGCAATGTTGGTCAGAATTTAACAAGGAGTCATTTGACCAAAGGCCAGGGTCACTTGGTCAAAGATCGAGGTCAAATTTTGTATCTTTCCACTGATGAACATTTTGTTATGACATTATGAAGCAAAGTTGGTTGGAATTTAAAAAGGAGTCAACTGACTTAAGGTCAAGGTCACTGGGTCAGTTTCAAGGTCAGATATTGTATCTTTTTACTGATGAACAGTTTTTGTATGTTATTGTGAAGCAAAGTTGTTCAGAACTTAACACAGAGTCAACTTACCAAAGGTAAAGGTTACAGGTTCCAAAGGTTCAAGGTCAAGGTCTAGTTTCGTATTTTTCACTGATGAACATTTTGTTATGATATTATGAAGCAAAATTGGTCGGAATTGAAGAATGAGTCAACTGACCAAAGATCAGGGTCACTGGGTTAATGGTCAAGGTCATTTAGGTCCAAAGGTCAAAGACAAAATGGATCTCTTACTTTGACCCTGGCTCTTGATGGGGGAAGTATTTAAGGTGAAATAAAACAAATCAAAGCCAACAAATGAGTATTGCACCGGTATTTATATTTCTGTTGAGCTATATGGGCAGATTGCTTCTTGATGATTATGGGGGATATATTGCCACAAGACGGGGTCCTTACTGACCTGTCAGTGTTCTAGTTTCACCTAAGTTGACCAAACTTGCTAAAGTTTTAATGTATCTTGGGTAAGTAGAAGTGTCAAATTCTTAATTCGGGTCTCGTGCCCCACTATATAAAGCAGTATGGCCCTTTATTAATTTGTTATACCAGAGTTTTTCTATTGGCTAATAAGGGGAGACATATGTTTTTGTTCACAAAAACAAAATTCTAGTTGAACTTGCTTCAGTATTTATTGAATTGTGGTGTTGGTTTCCTATTTTTATCTTGGCCAGAATCCTTTTACTTCATTTATTCTGTCCTCAATAAGCCAACCTAGTTTGATGAACTCTAACCATTTCTGATTTTGTTTATGAACAGAGGATGCGCAGCGTGTTGAGGCCTAACCCGATAGTCTCCACCAAAGATGATTTGCCCCTCGTACCTATGGATCCAGTGGCTTACAATGAAATTGAGATCACAAACCTCAGTGGTGTACCTCCCCGCATCTGTCTACGCGAGTATGCACATTAACTACATATAAATCTTTGAGGTTTCACAAATGATTGACAGATTAGAAATCGTGTATCTCTAGGGTCTGATTTAGCTACACTATATCATGTCTATTGGTAATGTATCTGTCTAGTTGTCTCTCGGTCAATTCATCGTCAATATGTCTTGCAAAAAATGTTATATTAACAAAATGTATAATTCATAAAACTGTTGCACTTTGATATGAATTTGTCTGTGGTTGAAAAGAGATCAGGAGAAATCTTGTACAATTTGCAGTGTTAATGATGGGTCCTTTGTGCGCGTTTTCCCTGGAATGGCCACCTCTGTCACGGAGGAAGACAAGGAGAAGCTAGAAAAGAAACTCAACAAGCTGGACTTACAGGATACAAGCCCAAAACACAAATACAGCAACAATGTCAAGGACACAATCAAACTACGCTTCTCAGACCCAATGGTGAGATTCTGTTACCTGGTTACCATGTATGTTACCTGTCATCTGAGACCCACTGGTGAGTTTCTGTCACCTGGTTACCATCTCGTTACCTGTCATCTCAGACCCACTGGTGAGTTTCTGTTACCTGGTTACTATGTATGTTACCTGTCATCTCTTTCCCACTGGTGAGTTTCTGTTAACTGGTTACTATGTATGTTACCTGTCATCTCTTTCCCACTGGTGAGTTTCTGTTACCTGGTTACCATGTATGTTACCTGTCATCTCTTTCCCACTGGTGAGTTTCTGTTACCTGGTTACCATGTATGTTACCTGTCATCTCAGACCCACTGGTGAGTTTCTGTTACCTGGTTACCATGTATGTTACCTGTCATCTCTTTCCCACTGGTGAGTTTCTGTTACCTGGTTACCATGTATGTTACCTGTCATCTCAGACCCACTGGTGAGTTTCTGTTACCTGGTTACCATGTATGTTACCTGTCATCTCTTTCCCACTGGTGAGTTTCTGTTACCTGGTTACCATGTATGTTACCTGTCATCTCAGACCCACTGGTGAGTTTCTGTTACCTGGTTACCATGTATGTTACCTGTCATCTCTTTCCCACTGGTGAGTTTCTGTTACCTGGTTACCATCTAGTTACCTGTCATCTCAGACCCACTGGTGAGTTTCTGTTACCTGGTTACCATGTATGTTACCTGTCATCTCTTTTCCACTTGTGAGTTTCTTTTACCTGGTTACCATGTATGTAACCTGTCATCTCTTTCCCACTGGTAAGTTTCTGTTACCTGGTTACCATGTATGTTACCTGTCATCTCAGACCCACTGGCGAGTTTCTGTTACCTGGTTACCATGTATGTTACCTGTCATCTCAGTCCCACTGGTGAGTTTCTGTTACCTGGTTACTATGTATGTTACCTGTCATCTCAGACCCCCTGGTGAGTTTCTGTTACCTGGTTACCATATAGTTACCTGTCATCTCAGACCCACTGGTGAGTTTCTGTTACCTGGTTACCATGTATGTAACCTGTCATCTCTTTCCCACTGGTAAGTTTCTGTTACCTGGTTACTATGTATGTTACCTGTCATCTCAGACCCACTGGTGAGTTTCTGTTACCTGGTTAACATCTAGTAACCTGTCATCTCAGATCCACTGGTGAGTTTCTGTTACCTGGTTACCATCTAATACCTGTCATCTCAGATCCACTTGTGAGTTTCTTTTACCTGGTTACCATCTAATACCTGTCATCTCAGATCCACTGGTGAGTTTCTTTTACCTGGTTACCATCTAGTTACCTGTCATCTCAGACTCACTGGTGATTTTCTATTTACTGGTTATGATGTATCAGTAGGCTGTATATATTTCAATTTATAAACAGGGGTTGGACATTTTGCTGGTGTTATCAGAAAGCTGGATATTTTGTTGGTGTTTTATCAAAATGGCTGTATATTTTGGTAGTATATTTTGTCACAGGATTTCATTTGTTTTGTTTCAAAAGTCGAATTGTAGGAGTAGTTTTTCCTGAGCCTTTAGTTTGCTTGTATGTTCTATCAGGGAGCTGTACATCTGGTAGGAGGAGAGACTAGTGGCGGGACGGAGATACAGGAATCTCGTGTAGTGTACCATCCCACAATCTCTCGCGAGCTACGGATCCAACATGAGACTGGCATCATTTGGTAAGTTTCCTAGCTATACGTGTCATAGAAATCTATACCATGTTGAATGAATGGAAAACTTGTCCTAAAGGTCTTTCATAATTAGTCAATTAGTAAAACATTTCCCCAGCAAATTACTAGGAAAACACTGTTAAGTTTGTTTGTTCAAATGACCTTGAACAACTCAAAGTCCATGCATGTCCAAATCAAGTTGAAAATTTCAAACAAAGATCCATAAAGTATAGAGCTGACAGGTTTGTTAATAATTCTGACTCATTTAAGTCGCAGAAGTGAAATACAGGGATGAATAGTAGGGTAATACAGGTCCATTGGGTCTCTTTTTGTTTTGTAATTGGGGATTTTTCATTAGCTGTACGCATAGGTTTAGTTTCCCTCCCTGCTGTTTGTGGTGGGCAGCCTATAAGATGACACCCGAGGGACTAGTGTTGTGTAGTTTCTGTGTCTATTTACAGCTACGACACCACCTCTGCAGCAATACCTGTAGGACAGTTTGTTGGACCGAGACCTTTCTCTTCCACCTTTACAGAATTTTCATTCAGTAAGTATGTAGCTTGTAAAACAGATTGGACAAGAATCATTTGAAATGTTCTGTAAAGAGATTTATATATATATAGACATACATGACATGTAGTTTTCTCACCAAAGACATATTTCCTTGTTTAAAATTGTTACTGGCTTTAACTAATTATACCTGTAACAATTTGATTGATGAAAATCAAAACATAAAATTTGCTGCCAACTATTTTGTTTACAAGAACTTGTTGTGCGAAGAAGTTCACAGGTTGTTGCAGCTAGCTGCAAACTTGTTGCAAAGTTGCAGCAAACACTTTTTGTTTGCAACAACTTTGCAGCATTTTGCTGCGAAATTGCGAGAATATGTACTTAGCCAAATTACTAATACTAAATACAAGACTTTGCAGCAATTTGCATCAAATTGGTACTTTGTCGAAAACAGATTGAAAATCTGTAAATATGATATATGCATACACATGTCTACATTTTTGTACAGGATCTTAATGGTTTTAATCAACTTGTTGAATTATTCATTAAAACACAGTAAATCTGAGTCTTCTGTTTTATTTATAGTAACTGTTTGCGGCAATATTGCAGCAACTGTTTGCCGAAGATAGTTGCTACAACATAGCTGCAAATATTTGCAAGAAGCTTCTCATTTCCATAAGGCATTATACTGTTGTCCTGGCTTAGCTGAGTATACCTCAATTTTATGGGTATAAGTTGATCAACAGCAAATTAGCAATATTTTTGTTTTTGCCCCCTACTTTTTGAAATAAGAATCTTTGAATATTCAAATCAATATATTGATAATTATATAGAAGTTTGAATAGGGTATCAAAGGCACATCGATGAAAGGATTTTTTGGTGTTGTGTCAGAATGAACGTGGTGTTCAGTGAATGAGCGAAGCTGGTATTGTTTGTTTTCAGAGGTGATGAACTTGGGTGTCAAAGGGACTATAGTGATCGGCATCTGTCCGAAGACATACCCAGCCAACAGACAACCTGGCTGGAACCGCTTCTCTATTGCCTATCATGGAGATGACGGCGGGTCAGTTTATAACTCGTGTATAGATATATATACTCTCTAAATCTCGGGGGATAGTGGGATCACTTAATTTACACATTAAATAAGATTTTTAGGTCACTTGAGACTTTGTCTCTAATCGCCTTTTGTCCGTCGTCTTCCGTCGTCCATCATCTGTCGTGCATCCGTAAACGATTTACATTTTCAACTTTTTCTCCAAAACCCCTGAACCAATTTCAATGAAATTTTGCAGAAAACATTCCATGGACAAAGGTCAACCAAAATTGTGAATTATATGGTGCCCAGCCCCCAGTTTATGGTTTATATTGGCAAATGATACTTTGGATATTACCTGTTGATAACTTGATTGGAATTATAACCCTGAGTTGACAGTTTGATACTTTGAAAATTTTGAGCCAGCCCTACCAACCTAGGGCTATAGGGCAGGGCCCAAAGGAATCAGTGTGTTAAAATTTCTTCATTTTCCTTGTTTAGAATCAGAGGTGCTAGTTTCAAACACTTTTCAGTCTTAAATCTGTATGCTAGATATTGAATAAGGTGGTTTTATTGTTTTTTTGTCACTTTGAATAATATTACTGTTCATGTTTTAAAATTAAAGATCAACTCTCTGTATCAATATATCAGAACTCAGATGACCATTAAGCTCATGGGTCTCTTGTTTTAAATATTTTTACCCTCTGAATCATAGGAGACAGTGGAGAATTTACATCTTATAAATATGTTTACCCTCTAAATCACAGGGGACAGTGGGATCACTTTACATCTTAAAAATATTTCTACTCTCTAAATCACAGGGGACATATTTCTACCTTTTAAATCTCAGGGGACAGTGAGGTTGCTTTACATCTTTAATAAGATTTCTACTCTCTAAATCACAGGGAACATATTTCTACCTTTTAAATCACAGGTGACAGTGGGGTTGCTTTACACCTTTAATAAGATTTCTACTCTCTAAATCACAGGGAACATATTTCTGCCTTTTAAATCACAGGGGACAGTGGGGTTGCTTTACATCTTTAATAAGATTTCTGCTCTCTAAATCACAGGGAACATATTTCTACCTTTTAAATCACAGGGGACAGTGGGGTTGCTTTACACCTTCAATAAGATTTCTACTCTCTAAATCACAGGGAACATATTTCTACCTTCTAAATCACATGGGACAGTGGAGTCGCTTTACACCTTTAATAAGATTTCTACTCTCTAAATTCTGTGGGATGATGGGGGGTCATTTTACACATGATTTCTCGTAATATTTTGGATGCTGGATGGTTATAAGTCACTTTACCATCACATATAGATCTGTTCTACTCTTGTTATCGCTGGGGATGAAACAGGTCACTTTGTACTCTTTATATAAATCTCTTCTTCTCTCTAAATCCTGGAGATGCTGGTTAACACCAGGGTTTACTTATGTATTATATACAGATTTTCTCTACTCTTTAAATCATTGGTGATAAGGGCGATAATTTTACACAATATTGCTTTTTTGGGGATAATTTATTCAAAGGCTTGTTATTAATTAAATATATATGCTAGCATACTAATACTTGACATGGAATTTGACTGGGCTATAACATTAATGCAGTGAAATCAATACTGAAATATATTTTAACCACTTTGAGAGATTTTCAACGTTTTGTATCGAATGTATCGACCCAATATTTTATCACCAGATTGAAGTTTTTGAGGTAAACTTGCTATTATTTCAATATGTATGCCAGCATATCTAAATATTTTACATAGGAGTTCATAGGAGCAGTGGAGTCAAAACAAAAGCACACCGTTTTAAATTTGAATTTTGATGTGTCATTGTAATAATTAGGTAACACAGGGATGGAGTGTCAGGCCAGGGCAGCTTCGGCACCGTCTCTAGTTGTCTCTTGTCATCAATAGGGAACTACTGTTTTTGATTTTGGTTGACAATTTGTTTTGACAGTATTTTCATTGAGAGTGGCTACCCAAAGAAGACAACAGGCAAGAGCTATGCAGTTGGTGACATTATCCTGTGCCACCTAGATGTATCAGAACGCATGCTTTACTTCTACAAAAATGGGGAGGAGGTAAGTTTACTGTAAATCAGTAATTCAAACAGTCCTATTATTATTTGAACTACTCCACTATCAGAGTTATCTCCTCTTGCTTTTGGTGTCAGCAATGTCTCCCAGTCTGATAGATTCAGAATTGATATTCTTGAATTTGATATTTGCTGAAATGAATACCAAATAACTTTTCATTTTATCGATTATTGTATTTGTGTAATAGGAAGGAAATGTAAAGTGAGTACAGAGTGTGTCACTACTGACTCAGTAAAGTGAGTACAGAGTGTGTCACTGTTGACTCAGTAAATTGGGTAATGAGTTTGTCACTGTTGACTCAGTAAAGTGAGTACAGAGCGTGTTGCTACTTACCCAGTAAATTGGGTAATGAGTTTGTCACTGTTGACTCAGTAAAGTGGGTACAGAGTGTGTCACTGTTGACCCAGTAAAGTGGGTACAGAGTTTGTCACTGTTGACTCAGTAAATTGGGTACAGAGTTTGTCACTGTTGACTCAGTAAAGTGAGTACAGAGTGTGTCACTGTTGACTCAGTTAAGTGGGTACAGAGTGTGTCACTGCTGACCCAGTAAAGTGGGTACAGAGTCTGTCACTGTTGACTTAGTAAAGTGAGTACAGAGTGTGTCACTGTTGACTCAGTAAAGTGGATACAGAGTTTTTCACTACTGACTCAGTAAAGTGAGTACAGAGTGTGTTGCTACTGACTCAGTAAAGTGAGTACAGAGTGTCACTGTTGACTCAGTAGAGTGAGTACAGAGTGTGTCACTACTTACTCAGTAAAGTGGGTACAGAGTGTGTCACTGTTGACTCAGTAAAGTGAGTACAGAGTGTGTCACTACTGACTCAGTAAAGTGAGTACAGAGTGTGTCACTGTTGACTTAGTAAAGTGAGTACAGAGTGTGTCACTGTTGACTCAGTAAATTGGGTAATGAATTTGTCACTGTTGACTCAGTAAAGTGAGTACAGAGTGTGTCACTGTTGACTCAGTAAAGTGGGTACAGAGTGTGTCACTGTTGACTCAGTAAAGTGGGTACAGAGTTTGTCACTGTTGACTTAGTAAAGTGAGTACAGAGTGTGTCACTGTTGACTCAGTAAAGTGAGTACAGAGTGTGTTGCTACTGACCCAGTAAAGTGGGTACAGAGTTTGTCACTGTTGACTCAGTAAAGTGAGTACATAGTGTGTTGCTACTGACCCAGTAAAGTGGGTAATGAGTTTGTCAGTACTGACTCAGTAAAGTGGGTACAGAGTTTGTCACTGTTGACTCAGTAAAGTGAGTACATAGTGTGTTGCTACTGACCCAGTAAAGTGGGTAATGAGTTTGTCAGTACTTATGGTTACCATTTTTGACTGAGTGAAACCTGTATCGACAAACTATATTTAAAAGAGCAGTTTTACTTCTCCATGAATTTACAGTAAACCTATATTTTATCGGCAGATTTACAACACAAAAGTGAACATACCACGAGATGGTTACTTCCCCTGTATTGGCATGCATTCCCTCGGAGAATGTGTAAAGCTCTGTGAGAGGGACCCTTGGCTGCCTAACGAGGAAAACGTATGTAACTGTTCACTTGATTCAATTCGTTCATAATAATAAGAACAATGTAAGTAGCTGTCTACCTCCTTTTACTTACCTGTCTTAAGTATGTTAAGATTGTTACACTTTTGTATTTCAGCCATCTATTAAGCCTACAGCATTTGACACCCACAAGTACGGCAACCTGTTGATCAGGTGAGTATTTAGACAGGTCACAGCCCTAGGGCCACCTAATGACAATACCTCTCAGCATTATAGACAGGAACATCTAAGAATGATGCATTTTGAAATTTGAGATAGTGATTATAATGTCATGTCATGTTGATCAGCTGTCTTAACCTACATTGTACACATACATTCTTCTATGACAAAGAGGATATTTCACTATGAGTAACATTTATATTTGATCAAGTATTTTACATTTGCCAGAAACAAATGATGGGGGGAGTAAATTGGAATGCCACACAATATTTTTCCTTGTTGTTATTAGTTGTTTTTTTATTTACTTTCCAGTCCTGCCCGTGTGATATTACTGAAAAAGATGGGTAGCCGTGGTAACGTGGGCTGGATCGTTCTACACAACCCTACCAAAGACAAGATAGGCTACAGGGTGAGTAGGTCCTACTGTTAGAGAGCTATTGTGATATACAGCTCTGATCACTGGAAGGCTGTTTAACCTGTTGTCATGTAACTGTTTATAATGTGTGTCTGTTGTTGTTATCAGAGCTCTGATCACTGGTAGGCTGTTTAACCTGTTGTCATGGAACTGTTTATAATGTGTGTCTGTAGTTGTTATCAGAGCTCAGATCACTGGAAGGCTGTTTACCCTGTGGTCATGTAAGTGTTTATAATGTGGGTCTGTTGTTGTTATCAGAGCTCTGATCACTGGAAGGCTGTTTAACCTGTTGTCATGTAACTGTTTATAATGTGTGTCTGTTGTTGTTATCAGATTACTGAGGATTCAGCATCAGCAGACAGGAAGTATTACGTGGGATTACTGGATCCTGGAGAAACAAAGGCATTTGAGTTAAAACCAAGTAAGTTAGTGATAAAAATAGGATGTTATGACATTTACTGTTAATGTTCGATCAAGGCTGTGTTGAACTAAAATAATGTCCTATCATTCATGGGTGAAAAGGAAATGGGGGCTAAATTGTCCAGTTTTACATCATTTCTTATAGGAACTAACAATGTTATTTATAAATCACCCTTCGTCCGTTGTCTATGGTCAGACCTGTCTGTCCCTAAACAATTTTTGTTATTGCTGTTCCTCAGAAAGTTGTGGAGGGCTCTCCTCCAATTTGATATGTCTGTTCCCCTTTAACCCTAGTTGTGCATATTTACTTTTGAAACTGATGGGATAATCAAATTGGCTTACAGGTGGCCATCTTGGATTTTGACACTTAAGGTTGCTTATCGGTATTTTTCAAATTTAATATGTAGGTTCCTTTTGGTCTCTATTTGGGCATGTTTATTTTTTTGACTGATTGGAAAAACAAAATAGCTAATTGGTGGCCATCTTGGATTTTGAAAATTAAGGTTTGTTATCCCTATTTCGCAGAAAGTTAACTGGAAGGATCTTTTAGAATTTAATATCAAAGATCCCCTTGGTCTTTAGTTGCATGTGCATGTTTACGTTTGAGACTGATCAAATAAACAAAATGATTGTCTTCCATACTTCTGATTCTAGAGATTTTCTCTGAATCCAGAAGAGTAATGTCTCTAAAATTTTACATAGGGAGAATGGAGTCCCTTTGCTCTCAGGATGCTGCAGAAAAAAATTGGCCAAAATTCTTTCATCTGTACAAAAGGAGAAGGATTTTAAACATCTACCTCTTTTCCCAGTATTGGTTCCCACTCCTTTGAACTCAAGAAGCCAAACACTTGATTTTAATTAGTTACTTCCGAAGACTATGTTAACAAATTACTTTCAATAAAAATGGAATCCTTCAATTACAGATTTTCCATCTGTTCAACATCAAATCATCAAGTGGATTGCCTTGGAGAAGTCTAAGACATATTCAAACGAGTTCTTGGAAGAGCAGTTCAAGGCAGACAGTGATAGTATATACACACACAGGTAATGTGAAAACACAACATCTACACACAGGTAATGTGAACACAACATCTACACACAGGTAATATGAACACAACATCTACACAGAAGTAATGTGAACACAACATCTACACACAGGTAATATAATATGAACACGACATCTACACACAGGTAATGTGAACATAACAACTTCACACACAGGTAATGTGAACACAACATCTACACACAAGTAATGTGAACACAACATCTACACACACAAGTAATGTGAACACAACATCTACACACAAGTAATATGAACACAACATCTGTACACATGGATAGTTTAAACACATCATTATGAACATATGATTTCAGTGTTAGTCTAGCAAAGCCAGGACTAAATATTCAGTTAAAATGATTTTGTATTGAACAGGTATAACAATGATGATTATTGTATAGAACAGGTATAACAATGATGATTATTGTATAGAACAGGTATAACAATGATGATTATTGTATAGAACAGGTATAACAATGATGATTATTGTTTGTTGTTTATCAGATTGCAGATGAAAAGTTTGAGTTCCCAAACAGATCTTGATGTAGAAGAGTTGGCTCGAGTGGCAGATGAACCAGTTCCAAAGATCAAGGTAATTAAAACCTAACTTTTTGCAATTAGTGTCGTGAGCTATAAACTAGGTACCGTTTCCCCCACCTGATCTAATGGACTTCGCTAAGCTTCTGCCATACAAGAGCTTCTATTGTCTTCCCTTCTTCCATCCATTCCTCCTACAACGATTTCTTTGAAAACTTCTTTTAAATTGCTGAAAACATGTTCACCAAATTAGGCTGAAAATATCCTTTTGTTGTGGGGATTCCATATTGTAAAATGAAGGGACTGACCCACCAGTCATATTTGGTTGGAAGCACCCTCCAATAGTAATAATTAAAAAATATGAACAGTGGACTGAGAGGCTTAAAAATGTGAACAGTTGGCTGAGGGGCTAACAAAATGTAAACTGCAGGCTGATAGGGCAAAATAATGGAAACAGCAGGCTGAGGGGCTAAAATAATGTAAACAGTGGGCTGAGGGACAAGACTGTAAAGTGGCAATAACTAGGAAATTATTGAGGTTCCATCTTATTACGCTATGTCTGCTTTCTGGGTTCAAGTAATTGCTTCCTGTGGATTGTGAGCCTGATAGCAGCACAGAAACAGTTGAGATCCCGACCATATAACCATGTATACAATTGCTTGACTGAACAGAGGGATACACATAAGCTCCCAGGATTGGCCCACTGTTTGGTCCTACCCCTGGGGATTTAGTCCCTTGGTCATGGCTTGGAAATGGTTGAGATCTCAATGCATCCGATAACCATATGAACAATAACAGAGCTTGGGGAGAGGATTTATCAGTACCAAAACTCACAGGTGATAAATTCTGTCTCATTTATTTGCAGAACAAGGTTTGTCTTGAAGTGTACAAAAACCAGACCCTGGTAGAAAAATACTGGCTCAACATTGGATCCTACAGACTGGAATTTCCATCTCCGGACAAGGTTGGCCAGTGCTTGGTCAAGTCTCCCAAATGTCCAGTAAGTGACATTGTTTATTGAAGTCAAAACCAACCTTTACACTAATATAGTCCTTTAAGTTTTCCTTATTCAAGTGAGTTGTTGATTAAGACTAAATATACACATTGATGTGGATATAAATAAAGTGTCCTGTAATAATCAATCAGTATTACAAGTAAAAGGGTACATTATATCACTGTCAGGTTAATACAGAGAGTTGTATCACACACAGATCCATACACACAAACACACGCACACACACCCACACACCCACACCCACACACCCACACACATCCACACCCATACCTACCCACACCCACCCACACCCACACACCCACACCCACACACACACCCACACACCCACACCCACATTGTTATTCTCATGGTAAACCCGGGGATTTTAATTTAGGTTGAAACATGTTGACCTCTGTTTTTGTTACAGAGCTTCTTATATCCTTCGGCACTGCAAAAGGGGATGAAAGTGGTGGTGAAGGCGGGCAGGTGAGTTACACTAATATACAACATTTCACAACTTCAGTGAAAACAACTGTTAATTAGGCATATTTATTACATTTTTGCCTGTGAAATATCGGATTCTATCAGCTTGATAAAAACTGATATCTTTCACACTGTGACAAATATCAAAAGTAATATTTTCACAGTGTGAAAATATCACTTTTTGGTATTGACCAATCATAACAGTATCTTCTATTGGCTGCATTCAAAGGCACACTTTTTTGTCCAGATTCAATTGAAGTGAGGGTAGATTAAGTGGTTGTTATGGTAACTGTTTGGTACACACACTACAGTATTTAATTAAATATACAATTAATAGCATTTTTATAAGCAATAATACCGGAAAATAGCAGAAAACGTCAGAATAGCGTTGAGTATCCCATTGAAAATGGCACGCAGCCTTACATGTTGTCAAGCGTGACGTCATTAGAATATGGCGCTAATTATTACGCTTCTGATTCACGCCCTTTTTAATGCATTACATTTTTCATGTTTTATGCTTTAAAATGTAATGAATAGAAAATTTAATGATGTCTTCAGCAATAACAAATATATTTCACTCGTGTGGCTAATATTTTGATATTTTTCACTCATGCAGAAAATATCAAAATATTAGCCACACGAGTGAAATATATTTGTTGTTACTGAAGACACGATTAAATATCCTCTATATATCTATCTATGTTTAACCATGAAATAATAAAACCAGCATCAGTTCAGTCCATGTCTTGACAGAAAGAGCACTTCAGTCCACGTCTTTACAGAAAGAGCACTTCAGTCCACGTCTTTACAGAAAGAGCAGTTCAGTCCACGTCTTCACAGAAAGAGCACTTCAGTCCACGTCTTGACAGAAAGAGCACTTCAGTCCACGTCTTTACAGAAAGAGCACTTCAGTCCACGTCTTTACAGAAAGAGCACTTCAGTCCACGTCTTCACAGAAAGAGCACTTCAGTCCAGTCTTTACAGAAAGAGCATTTCAGTCCAAGTCTTCACAGAAAGAGCACTTCAGTCCAGTCTTTACAGAAAGAGCATTTCAGTCCACGTCTTCACAGAAAGAGCACTTCAGTCCACGTCTTTACAGAAAGAGCACTTCAGTCCACGTCTTCACAGAAAGAGCACTTCAGTCCACATCTTCACAGAAAGAGCAGTTGCTTCAGTAGTTGTTCTTTATGAAACAGGAATATGGACTTAGTGGTCTGATGTTATTTACTACTGAGCCTTGAAAAGCACTTATACTTCCTAATTAGATACTCGCAGGTCAACAAACCCCACACTATATAAAACAGAACATCTCAATGGCGACCAACAGGTCGGTTAGACGATTTACAGGAACGGGCAGGAACGGGCAGAAACGGGCAGGAACGGGCAGAAACGGGCAGGAACGGGCAGAAACGGGCAGGAACGGACAGAAAATTATTGATTATTAAATATATTAATTATATATATATTATATATATTTAATTAACAGTATCGGGTATAAGATATAATTGATAAAATGACTGCAGTTACATGATCGGTGCAGAATCGGACTTAATCATATAGAATTATGTCCTTATTACTTATGAATTTACGGTATTATACTTTTTTCGGGTATAAGATATAGATATTAGATATATTTAAGTATCGTTATCGAGTATAAGGTATATTTGTTAAAAGGATTGCAACAAATTAAGAGTATTGTATTGATATGGATCGGGCAGGAACAGGCGACGATTTACAGGAACGGGCAGAAACGGGCAGA